AACACATGGGCAGGAATATCAGCCCCCGGGGCCGGCGGTGGCCGACACAGAGCGCCCTGTTCCCACACCACGGCGACTCCAGCTCGCTCCTCAACACAGGCCCGGGGTCCTCCCGTCACCTGTGAGCATCTTTCCCAGACCAGCTTCCCAGGGCTGCTCAAAAGCAGCAAAACATGGCTCCATTTCAGGTCCTCTTCTCTGCTCCTCCTAGAGCGGCCTTGCTAATGAAAACACATAAACTGAATAAACACTTGGGGGAAGCCGCCATCTGCTTCATCCTACAAACGTCAGTAGGAACAGCGTTTTGTTTACCAGCAGGGTCATGAGGACAGGACACATAAAACCTTCTCAGGAAACTTCTGGAGGGGGGCGCGGAGGGAGGAAGTCATGTAACCCTTTCAGATCCACACGTCACCTCAAGGTATAACCTCTGGTTGGAAGGGAACACCGCGGATACCGCAAGCCACAGGGTGAGGCTTCTCTGCACGGCATTTTCCACATAAAAACGATAAAACCTCTGGGAAGAATTTACTATAAATATTGCACTTGAACTTTCAACTCTGTAGAAAAAAATACCTAAAAAGACCATCCAAGTTTAAGAGCAAAGGTGACCGGGAGAACGAGCCACGGCGTAACAAAGTCTGATGGTCCATGCCCAGGCCTCTCAAAGGATTAAACTCTTTGATAAGACTTCATTCGAGGCATAAGTAATGATGCAGGCTGGTGTGGTTATCTGGGCCAGGAAGCATTTGGGGAACGTGCATTTTAAAATGATGACTTTGCCTCCATCCATCCTCTGAAACAAAAGAATCAGGAAAAGACCCAGGAAACTCAGTCCCCCAGGGAATGATGAGGTTCACAGCGGAATGTTCCCCAAAGGAAATGGTAATGACTTCCGGCCGAGCGCCTGCCCATCTGTGTGACAAATGTGAATTAGCAACGAGAATTTATCGTCACGGGCCGTCCAGTCCAAAGAGGGAACATGGGTGGGTGAGGGGGGCTGCGACACCGGGCCTGCATGAATTCACAGCAGGAAGTTTTAGAGCAAGGTTTAAAAGCAGTTGTGGGAAGCTGCGTCTCTTGCAATCCTAGTCCCTCCTCTCTAATCACAAGCACAGCGGTTGAGTCACCACGGCCAGCCTGCTGCCTCCCAGCTGCAGAGAGTCCTGGCCCGTTCTCTTCTTAAAGACCACAAGGTAGCAATTTAGAATCAGCACAGTCAATAAAAATGCTGATCGCTGACTTTCTACAGGCAGTTATGGAAAACATCTGTTGCCTATGGGTTGAGAAGGAACATTCTGACCCAACTCGAATAAGACTTTTAAAAATTAGACATGAATGGATGAGGCATGTGAAAAACTAACAATAACAGTAATTCTACTTGTCAGATCAAATCACCCTAATATTCAAACTTTTAATGAGCACCTACTATACTCAAGGCACTGTGCTGGGTGCTGGAGATGAGGCAATAAGGCAAGGACCCAGGCCCAAGAAGCCAGCAGTGAAATGCAAAATGCACATGGGCGAGGCTCCAAAGTCACTACAGACAGGGACCGCAGCCATGAAATTAAAAGATGCTTGCCCCCTGGAAGAGAAGGCAATGGCACCCCACTCCAGTACTCTTGCCTGGAAACTCCCATGGACGGAGGAGGCTGCAGTCCATGGGGTCGCTAGAGTCGGACACGACTGAGCGACTTCACTTTCACTTTCATGCATTGGAGAAGGAAATGGCAACCCACTCCAGTGTTCTTGCCTAGAGAATCCCAGGGACGGGGGAGCCTGGCGGGCTGCCGTCTATGGGGTCGCACAGAGTCGGATACGACTGAAGCGACTTAGCAGCAGCAACTCCTTGGAAGAAAAGCTATGACCAACCTAGACAGCATATTAAAAAGCAGAGACATCACTCTGCTGACAAAGGTCCGCACAAAGCTATGGTTTTTCCAGTAGTCACGTATGGATGTGAGAGCTGGACCATAAAGAAAGCTGAGAACCTAAGAATTGATGCTTTCGAAATGTGGTGCTGGAGAAGACTCTTGAGAGTCCCTTAGACAACAAGGAGATCAAACCAGTCAACCCTAAAGGAAATCAACTATGAATATTCATTGGAAGGACTGATGCTAAAGCTCCAATACTTTGGCCACCTGATGTGAAGAACTGACTCACTGGAAAAGACCTTAATGCTGGGAAATATTGAGGGCAGGAGAAGGGGACGACAGAGGATGAGATGGTTGGATGGCATCACCAACTCAATGGACATGACTTTGAGCAAACTCCGGGAGATGGTGAAGGACAGAGAAGCCTGGTGGGCTGCAGTCCATGGGGTCACAAAGAGTCAGACATGACTGAGTGACTGAATGTCAACAACAACATCAATCATATTATGTTTCCAAGCTCTTTGTTCCAAGCCAAGAGCTGTTCATTTGTATCAACTCTTTTGTTCTCATGAAATGAGGTAGGGTTTATGATGAGCCTCATTTTACAGAGGAGAAAACTGAGATAGAGAGATTAAGTACCTTGCCCAAGGTGATCAGTGAGTCGGTAGGAGAAGCTGCGATTTAAATCTCAGTGGTCCAACTCCCCCCTGACGTACCTATGAGCAAAGAGGTCTGAAGGAGGGAAGAAACAGTCCCACCTACTGTCTCAAGAAGTTAGCACCTGGGTAAAACAGAGAGGGCCTCTAAGGGTGCATAGGAGTTTATGGGGGGGGGGGGCGGCGAGGAAAAGAGGTGGTATAAGAAACCTTCCAGGCAGAGGAGTCATAAATGCAAAGCACAGACATCAGAAATTATCAAGTAAATTCATTTTAAAAGATGCAAACAAACTTCTATTCCTATTTTCTTAGGCAGTGAGTTCCTATCTAGCTCCTAGCTAAACAGTAGCTAGGGATGGAGTTTTGACAGTCTTTGCTTCAAAGAAACAAGAACTGCAAATGAATACATACAATGCTCCTGTGTACATAACAGCAGTGTTTGATGGCCCTTTGGTCCAAACCCATATATGGGAATACCATTTAAAAGAACATATTGCTAGAGATTTGGGCTCAGAAGTCCTTAACAGTACCAAAGGAGAAACACTGAAACGAAATACCTCACCAAACCAGTCTTGCAACAAAAAGAAAGTGGGGGAGAGGGGGGTGGAAGGCGGTGGGACGTGTTCCAGAAGGTCTGAGTCTACCAGGTTGGCAGGTGTGCGCCTCTGTTTTTTTTTTTACAATTTCAGCAGATAAACAGCGACTGTTCCTCAGAATATGAAGTTCCCAAGTCCTTGAAGAGATAGGAATTCCACAATGAGAAAATGAGAAAGGTACAAAGGTCATTTGCAGTGTGCGATAAATTGGCAGGTTTAAACATAGGTCTTCTGAAGTTTGTCTTCCCTGAGACACTTAATAGTAATTCACACTTTTGGAACAATCGTCTTGGAAATGAATACGACTGAGTGACTCATATCATATAAACGATTAAATGATGGGTTGCAGACGTTAATGCCGACTGTTAAAATTTTAGTTGCTCCAGCCAACAGGAATAATAGACGGATTGTCTCCACTTTAAAAACAGGTTATGTTCCCAAAGTTTGTTTACAATTGGGCTGTTTGAAATTCAAGAGTTATTTTTTCACCCCCACATGCAAGCAGCGTGAGATAGTGTGTAGTACCCAAGAGGGAACACAGGGAAAAAGCCAGACTGTGCTGTGAATTCTACGGGTGCTAATTAATTCTTGAGAAAAGTGCCATCGGCACCGTACAGAGGTGAACACACGTCTGGACTCTACCTGCACGTAACTGGTGGTGGTTCCTGAGCCTCGAGCAGGAGTGGGGTTTCAAGAGGAGATTGAGGAGAAGGATGGGAAAGATGGGGAAAAATGGGGAAGGGGCGACAGGGCAGAGGTTCCGAGGAAAACAGCAGAACCATGGGGGTGTGCAGCTCCAGCTGATGAACAAGGCAAGGCTCCTGCTCCTTCATCTCTGCCTGCTTCCTGGACACCTCTTTTGTCCTCCCCCGGCCCCTGGGATGGGGGTCTCTTCAGTTCTAGGACTGCTGGACTGTAGGCTGGGTTCAGGGTTTCTCTTTACCCCCGCTCCCTACCCACAAACATGGTCAGCAAGTTCTCTCCTGATGTCAGAACACCCATTCAGCTCTTTGATTTTTCTTGCCAGTCACACAGAAATGGAGTGTTCACACACATGCACTGAGGTTTAGAGGAATTGCTTGTAAGTAAGGTTCGATCCCAGGGTTGGGAAGATCCCCTGGAGAAGGGAAAGGCTACCCACTCCAATATTCTGGCCTGGAGAATTCCAAAGAGTGGATAGTCCATGGGGTCGCAAAGAGTTGGACACAACTGAGCAACTTTCACAAGGAGATCAAACTGGTCAGTCCTTAAGGAAATCAACCCTGAATATTCATTGGAAGGACTGGTGCTAAAGCTCCAATACTTTGGCCACTTGATACGAAGAGTCAACTCATTGGAAAAGACCCTGATGCTGGGAAAGATTGAGGGCAGGAAGAGAAGGGGGCAGAGGATGAGATGGTTGGATGGCATCACCAAGTCAATGGACATGAATCTGAGCAACCTCCAGGAGATGGTGAAGAACAGGGAAGCCTGGCATGCTGCAGTCCACGGGGTCGCAGAGTCGGACATGACTGAGTGACTGAACAATCATAAAGGGAATTAAACTGAGATTGAAACCACAATTCCCTCTAACTCAAAAACACAAGTAACACGTACATAGGCATATACACAGGTGTCTATTAGTACATGGAAAGTCAGAGTAGAATTCAAGTGACACACCCACTGGTATCACTGGTACTCAGTGCACGCAATCAAAAAACCAACACGCATCAATCCAAAAAACCACAGCTCGGACGGAACCAGAAGGAAACGGAGGGGCACGGTGAGGTGGGAAGAGGGCTGCTGAATACACAGACCATCTTCCCGCCACCCAGCAGCACCGAAACCCAGGGCTGAGATGAGCACCCCCACACCAAAAGCTGCCCCCAACTTACTGGAACTTCAAAGGCCTCCTGGGTATCATCCAGCATCTGGATCTTGATGGACATGAGTTTTCCTGAAGGCGTGGGGGGCAGCCTCTGTCCATGTTCCAATGTACTGATCCCCGAATTCTCCGGGGCCCCCAGTCTCGATCCTGGAGTTGGCCTCTGCTCTATCTCTCCCATGATGAAAGCAGATTATATACAGTATCTACCGGAAGCAGAGAGAGAAGAAAGATACATCAGAAGAGAAGATGCACCAAGACCACTTCAGTAACATTTGTCCTCTCTGCTCTTCATTGTAGGAATCCCCCCCTTGCCCCCCGGAAACACATGAGGGTCGGTCAGCGCCCCCCACCCCGGGGCAGCAATCACCTGCTGAGGCTTCAGTTCATTCAAGAACAATGTCACCTTTAGCCACGCAAGGCATGCTAATATTTGAGCATATTTTATTCTTCTGCATATTTTTACATAGCTTATCCTTTTCTAGTTTTACATTCAGCTCTTAATTGTTCACATGATAGATTGTGTTCTACATTATTATTATTATTATTCAGGCTCTATGAGAATCAGGTACCACTCAACACACATTTCCAGTCTGCTGGGAAGATAATGAGCAGTACCTAATCCTTATGATTAGTACCCATTAGTTACCTTTTATGGATCCAGGAACAGACCAAGCAATGTAGACATTAGCAAGATAAACAGATAAAACATATCTTGTGGCTCCCAAGCTTATAATCTGGTTGAAGAAACTAAACATGCACTTGCACAAACACAGAGGACATTAGGTAGGGTCTTTCCTCTCAATTTCTTATTGGTTTCTATGACAATTACCTCCTAATTAATTTCTTTCCTGCCACAGCCCTCCCTCAATTGTTCCCCCTTTCCCAGGAAACCATCCTACATATTACGGTATTGACAAAGCTCTCTTCTCCACCATTCAGAAGTTAAGAGCTAAACTCAGTTGAGTCTCCAATGTTGGGTAATACTTGGAAAGAGACACAAGGAGAAGGAATTCCAGGGAAGCAGAACAGCACAAAGAAAGCCATGGGACAGAAATCAGGAGGCATTCAGGAAGATGAGTGAGACTCACTGCTGCAAAGTCAAAGATTCATTTGAAAACTAGGTTGGAATCAGATCACAAAGGACATCAAAAAGCCTAGCTGAGAAATATGGTCTTCACCCTGCAGGAAGTCACTGATAATGACACAACAGAAGTAGAACTTGAGAAAAATGAATCTGAAGATGATATATACTAATGGGTTGGAAAAAGAGATGAGCTGGCGGGGACTGGGGTAGACCAGCTACAGAGCTACCGCAACAATTTGAGCTTGAGGGGATAACTTGAATAGTGGTGACAGAAATAAAAAGATGATGCTATAAAATGCATGTTCATGGCAAGATTAACCTGATGCTGTAAACAGTGAGCTACTAGGAAGAAGGAGATTAAAGTTTAACAATGCACAGCAAGTTTTAAGTCAGGACAGAAGGGAAGATGTGGGAGGGGAAGGTGTGTGCGCGACTGGGGGCACTGTTGAGGGTTATGAAAGGATGGCTATCCAGTAAGCTGCAGGGGAGGTGGCGCTGAATTTGGGCTGTGGGTTCAGAGTCCACGTCGCTGCAGAAGTGTAAGTCAGGGTGAGAGAGAATGTGAAGGGGTGGGGTGGGAGAGGGGTGGGTGGAACAAGGCAGTGAAAAAGCAGAAAGAACGAACATACCCAACCATGGCGGTTATTATGGACTGAACTGCGCCCCTCTCCCCACCCCAAACTCTTATGTTGAAACACTAACCCCGGGAAACCCAGAATGTGCATTTGGAGGGAGGAGACACAGAAGAGGTGACTAAGTTTAAAAAGTCAATAAAGGAAGAGGGAGGCAGAGGATGAGATGGTTAGAGAGCATCACCAACTCAGTGGATATGAATCTGAGCAACCTCTGGAAGACAGTGAAGGACAGGGAAGCCTGGGGTGCTGCAGTCCTCGGGGTCGCAAAAAGTCAGACTGATTTAGCAACTGAACAACAACATCACCCAATCCAACTGGCGTCCTCATAAGAGGAGAAAATTTGGACAAAGAGATACCAGGGAAGCACGGAGGAAAGGCCACGTGAGGACACAGGGAGAAGGTGGCCTCAGGAGAACCAAGCCTGCCAACACCTTGATCTAGACTTCCAGCCTCCAGGACTGAGAGAAAATACATCTCTGACAAGACACCTGGCCGGAGGGACTTCGGGGTGGCAGTAAATTCACACAAGGGTCGATGGAGAAGAGGCAGAGAAAGAGGGACCTGTCTTACTGACACAAGGTCACAGAAGGGACACTCCTGGTCCCCTGTGGCGAGAGGTGTGGTCTCAGGGCTGCTTCACACCTGTGTAAACAAGCCGCCCTCCGGCTCTTTGCCTCAGGATAAACCGCGCTTATTCGGCAGGTTCTTCTTGCCCAAGGCTCTCCCTTCTCCTGAAAGGTAAGCCAGGCTTCCCAGGAGCTTCCCACTAAATTTATTTTTTTTCATTTATTTTTATTAGTTGGAGGCCAACCATTTCACGATATTGCAGTGGGTTTTGTCATACATTGACATGAATCAGCCATGGAGTTACATGTATTCCCCATTCCGATCCCCGCTCCCACCTCCCTCTCCACCCGATTCCTCTGGGTCCACTAAATTTCTTTTTTTTTTTTTTTTCATTTATTTTTATTAGTTGGAGGCTAATTACTTTACATCATTGCAGTGGGTTTTGTCATACATTGAACTGAATTAGCCATGGATTTACATGTATTCCCCATTCTGATCCCCCCTCCCACCTCCCTCTCCACCCGATTCCTCGGGGTCCACTAAATTTCTTATGGAAACCTCTCCTTTTCTCTCTGTGAACCTTGAACTTTCTCACTGTGACACAGAGGACTGGCCTAGAGGCCAACAGATTAGAAACTCTGGAGTTCCTCAATAAGCTGGGTCACTGACTCAAAGAACTTTGGCCTAAAAAGACATACCATTTAACTGGACAGGGAGTGAGTCTGACCACCACCCAGGACACATCATTTACTGCTTAGTAATCTTTCTCCCATGCTCACTTTCCCCACCAACTTTCCACCAAAGCCTGTTAGACCTGATTATTCATTCCTCTAGAATCCTTTGAGGTTGGACTTCAGTGTCAAGGCCACACTATTTAAGGACCAGCCTTTTGAGTCCTGCTTCTTTTTCAAATGGCCAGGTCTGATTCCAAAGGTCTGCCACAGGTCTAATTTCTGTCCCAAGTTTTTTTTAAAGAACAGAAAACCAAACTGTTTTAGTCATGTGATTATCCTTTGCTTAATCATCTCCTAGTCTTAAGAAAGACAACTAGACTTTGCTCATGGACTTTACAACCGAAGTGAAACAGATCACCTACACTTGTTCAATGAATCGCATGTGGGTGGCATAGATCTAATTCATTATGACATCACTGTGTTTAAAATAATCTTCACAAAGCAGGCAAAATCACTCCCTTACAAGTTTTCTAAATTTTGTCTTATGGTTAAAAATAAACACAACTGCCAGAAAAAACTGACATCAGTCCAGCTCGCCTTCTCCATCGCCAGCCTCCTCCTTGCACTCTTGCCTACTCTGGTGTTGATCCCTCCATGCCTCTGGGAGCATCCTCCGCTGTCATCTCCAACCTCACCTTCTGTTCCCTGCACTCCATCACTGGTACTGACCCTGAGCACACGGCTTCCTGCTGCTGAGGCAGAGCAGGATAGGTCTGGCTGTGGCTCTAATGTGCAGCCAGAGAGGGAGGAAAGGGTTTGTCCCCTCATGTGTTCCAGCAAATGTTCCACATTTGCTCTGTGCCTGACCGGAGCAAAGAGCAAGGCTCCCATCCTCTAAATGGGACCCTTTCTCTCCATGCTGGCCCAAGATCCCCAGGAAAACACTGTAATTTTTAACAGCTTGGCATTTAAAAATTAAACTGAGCTACTGACTTAATAGACAGTACCTTAACTTCCTTTATCTTTAGTCTTCGAAAGACCTCATGCCTGGATTATTTCTATTCTGGATATTTACGTTTCAACAAAGCCTGTCACACTTTCTTTTTGTTGTGATACTTGCAGGCAGATTGTTGCTGCACATGGAAAGTGTTGTTTAACTCAAACATAAATCCAGCCAAGAGTTTTGAGCTGAGCAGGCTAAGAATGTCAAGGGAATATCTGAGCAACGCTGGCAAGGCATGAATGGGTAACAATAACTGAGGCAGGATAGCAAAACTGGTGAGTCCAGTAATAAAACAGCCTCTACATACACATCTACCAAGCCTAAAGGCCTCCTGTTTATAAGTATCAACCCATGCTCGATTCTGACTTAACCTTCTTAACTTACTCCAACTTCTGAATTCCTAAAGATAAACAGTCAAGGCAAGAAAAAAAAAAAAAAGATTAATATTTCTTTCCTTGTGGCATGTTACTACTAACGTGATCATTCCAGACCTAAAGGTACAGAGCTGTTTGTGAAACTACTTTCTTCTTTAGGTCTTTTTGAAGAGTTAAAGGCAATAACGACTACAACAAAGAAAGCAGTGAAGATTTTAGTTGGCAAAGAAAAGGTAAAAAACTCGAATTGTCTTGTTACAGTCTCTTGGCTTAAAGACTTCCTCTTGGAATTCACCCAAAAGCAACAAGGAACATGAAAATGCAAACTGCATCCCAGAGGAAACTGGAAGACATCTGTAGCACAACAGGAGGGGGAGTTGCCAAACTGCAGGGAAGGTCAGACAGAGGAGAAGAAAAATGCCTGGAGAAGCTGCTCATGCCTGCAGAACCATGCTGCCCAAATAACCAGGATATCCAGCAACACACCCAGCAGTAACTTTCTGAAAAGGGTAACAGATGTGCAGGTAGCACTAAAAGCTTTCCTGGGCACCGTATGGTGAGAGATTTCCAGAAGCAGGAAAGATCAAATTAAATGAGATACTATACAGCTAAGACATTAGCAGGAAGCAGCCTGTTGCCAAGGCAAAGTGAAAGAGACCCCACTAGGAGCACAACCAGTCTCTGCAACCTTGAGGAAAAACAAGAGTTGAAAGGATTATACATATGTGTGTGTGTGTGTGTGTGTGTGTGTATACACACACACACACACACTCCCAGGTCACAAGAATTCCCATTGGCATGGGATATGGCCCTGTCTCCTGCCCAGGGGAAGTTCCTATAA